ATGAGGTGTTAAATAAATATCCTGATACTTGGTAAGATGGATGGGGAGGAAAAAAAGGAAGAGGTTTTAGGACATGAGTGGCACAGTACAGGTGTGGTGTACTGCTGAGAGCTCCACAAGTCCTCATGGAGATAAAAGCTCTCCAGACCAAGGGCTCAAACTTGCAGACCTGACAGTTCTCTTCAGTTTCAATTCTTTCCTCTTCTGAGGAGGAAGATACTGACATGATTAACTGGCACTTAGAACATACACCCCACTGCTTGGGCATGCTGAACCCTCAACTGTCTCAGAAAATTTAGAGTTTACTAATAATGTGAACACCTAAAAAAATTTGCTTTTTTAGGAATGCCCCACTGCAAAAGGCAATGTCAGTTTTGCCTGTCATTTGCATTATAGGCAAGTTCTCAGAAAAGAGGACTGTATAAAGTCAGACACAAAACAGAAGCTTTTCTCTTTTGCAGGAAACTGTCACAGTCATAGAAGAGAAGCACAAAATTCCCACTGAAAGAGTCACCAGCCTGTGAAAAATGCAGTTGGAAAAACTGTTTTAGCAGGTTGTCACTCTAAATACGTGTTAGGAGAGCTAATTTATGTTGGAACTAAGGCTAGCTAATAATTTGGTGCCAAGAACTGTAATTTGGATTTCCATATACACCAATAATCAAGATAAATCAAGACATTTCATTAGACAGACTGCCTTAAGCTCTCATTCTAATGAAGATTATGAGTGCCTTCGGGCAATTAAAAATTGATTTAAGCGTAAAAGCTTCCTGTAATTACACACCAGGTAAGAATAATACTTTTTATAAGACCTGGCCAGAAGATTATATATTTACTAACACAAGCGCTTATCCCATGTACTTGGGAAGACCAGCCTGCTCTTGAGGCAAGTGGTCCAGGTTGTCATGTCTAGGGGAAACGCAATCCCCACCCAAAGGAAAAAAAAAAAAAAAAAAAAAAAAAGAGGATGCAAAGATCCAAAACTCACCTTTGCCAATATGCCGCCTAGTGTTCTCAATGGTGGAGTTGCGGTTAACGTTCGAGAGCAGCCCCAGGCAAAATCTGTTCTTGTTGTTTGAAGGATCAGTGAAGCCATCCACCAGGATGCTGGTGGAAGAAGCATGGAATGCCTCCCCAACGCGATTATTCAGCTCGTAGTAGACGATGGAGCACCAATGCTTCGGCTCTTCGTAAGCAACTGCCTGAACATCTGTAAAGCAACAATGGAAACGTTACAATCTAACGGCGCTGGAATACAGGCTTGAGATGTAAAGATTCATAAACCTGCAGATTTTGGCTGAAGATCACTGAAAGATGAGCCGGATAAGCAATTGCAGCTAAACGAAGGCTCTTCTGTCTTCAGTTATTTTTTATCTTTTCACAGCCACAGACATACAATAGAATAATTTCACCTCAATTTTACTTGCACAAGACTCACAAGAGACAACGGTTGGCACTAGATATCAACAGAAAAGTGTAGGAAGCTCCTGGGCACATACCACACAGTGCCCCGATATCCCTGCCACATTTTCTACAACACGCGATGGTATGGGCCCAGGCAGCAGAGAAATGCTGCAATTGTACAGCTCAGCTTTCTTTCCCATTTAGTAAATGAACTTCTACTGCAGTTCATTTTACTCAGCTACCAAATTACAAGTCATCTCTGTGCTTACTGCAAAGTTGCATGGTGACAGGGAGAAACAGCATCACACATTTCACAAGAGACCATTCGTAACTTTGGGTACCAAGAAGTATAGCCGGGTAGCTTAAATATACAGTCAGCAAATGAATCTTTCAGCTTTCAGAGCGTGCATAAATCTTTCTCCTGGGCTTCTTGGGGAAGGGCAGGACATTTGAAAAACTAAGAGATATCAACATTTATCTGCAGAACATGCACGAAGCACATCTTCAGTATGAATGGATACTGCTTGGGATTGGAGGCTGAACAAGAGCATAACGTGCAGGATATGCTGGGCTGAAGGGTAGATGAAATGGAGGAACATATTATTTAATGAGAACCTTTTATTCATCAAGTGCTACCAAATGCAAAATCCGCAACTGTTCATGACCAGAAGAATTACTTGTTGAGTAAAAGAGCAAGGATTTGTCAGAACATGGTTTTCCAGACCGGTAACATGAAGCTCCTCCTCAGCAGCTCCTAACTGAAGCTGGGAATTGTGCAGAATGCTGATGGGAAATGCCTTGTTCATGACTTCCACCCATCAACCTCTAGAAACACATGGAAGCCTTGAGGTGACACTGTGATTGTGTGTGGGGAACAATTTCTCCAGATGGTACCAAAAGCCTTTACCAAAAAGAATCCCACTGGGTGTCCAACAACAGCACAGGTTTCTTCAGATATCTTCATCCAGTGCACATTCTTTCAGGTGCCAAATTCAGCAACAAATTATTAAACTGCCTCCAAATAAAAGGAGGCTAGCGAAGGGATGTGGTTGCTTTATGTGGTTTCTTTTAAATGAAGGAGACACTTTCACTGCGAAGCCTAGCACAATTGGACTTGCTGCTAAAATACCAACTTTGCAGATGAAAGCTCCAACTACAGGTCAAAGTGCTAAAATGAAAATCAGACTGGTATTACAGGAAAACTTGTTTCTCTGGCCAGAGGTTTCCTTCTCCCAGCCCCAAGTCTTTACTGAAACCAGCCATCTAAGACCAGCATTCATATTTTCCTCTGTTCACAGATCGTACCACTATGAGTCTTCTGACACATGCAAAACAAACCCCAAAAAGTTCCCCCCAAACCAGCAGCACCTAGCAGACACAAAAGGTGGCAAATAATCAAAAGCACAGTAACACATCCTACATCACTGCGCAAAACTTCTGAGCATAGTGTCTACCGCTGACCGATACCTTGCTTAAAACACTGGTAAAAAGATCTTTCCTGATACCCTAGCATTTTATATCCTTTCACGTCACTGTAAAAAAAAAACCCAAACCAAAAAACAAAAAACCAAAAAAAAAACCACACAGTGAAAAATAATAAAAATCAGTCATTAATTATTAGTAAGAGGTTACTACACTTTTAATTCCCGTAAAGATGCCAGCAATTATCAAAGCTGCAGCTTTGCCCCAGTTCTCAAAGTCAGGAAGAAATCTTGCCAGCTGGCCATTCTTACAGAATGAATCATATCTCTCTCACACAGATTTCAAACTAACTTCCTTACATTTGCTTTAAGTCATGCAGAGCAGGTGCGTTTAGTCTCTCTATTCCCAGCATGGGCCAACAATGGAAATTACCCAACTTCATTGACAGGATGCAGCTTGTTAAGTCAAATCTCTTAAGACTAACAAATCACCATGAAGAACATGCTTCTAAAGAGTTTGCAACAGAAATGCTGCAGTAAGTTCACAGTAAAAACTCTTCTTTTACAACCTGCAGCAGGTTTTGTTTTTTTTTAAAGTACTGTAATTACAGCATACATATACAAATAATAAACACGTGAAGGCACAAAGAAGTATCTTTTTTTTTTTTAAATGAAAGGACAGAGATGAAAATCCATTGTAATAAACTGCTAGAAGGGAAAAAATGCTAATAGCACATTTTTTATTTTGAAATGGTTGAATGTTAAGAAGAAAAATGTAAACCCTTTTCTCCTTATCAACTCTCACGTACTAGAGCCATTCTACAGTACTCTTGTACAATTTTGTGAGAGGGACAAACATGCAGCCCTTTTCTCCTTATCAACTCTCACGTACTAGAGTCATTCTACAGTACTCTTGTATTTTGTGAGAGGGACAAACATGCAAAAGTCTGCAGTTTGGCATAAACATTGATGAATGTACTTCAGGCCAGCAAGGACTATACATACACACAGCGTACCGGATCAGCGAAAAGTGGAAATGCTACAGATGGGGTTTATCACATGCAAAACTCACATTCCAAACAGAGTAGAGAGGTTAGCACAAAAGCTATCCAAATCGTTCTAAGAGGGCAAACATACTTCCTGAAACCAGACATTAAGCTTAGCAACAAAACAACTACAAAAAGAAAAAAATATCAAACAGCAGTTAATTTTTTATATGCTTGTGATCTTGATAATCATTCTGGCACGGCATCCAGCTTGCTGCTCTTTCTTGGCACGGGCCACAACTGTGTAAGCTTATGTGCTCTCTAAAGGGGCTATTTCTCACAATGTGATGAATGTGCTAAAGCCTTTACTCAGCAGTCACGGCTGGCTGCAAAGGCTTTAAAAAGCAATGCGTAAAAAGACGTCTGTGTCATGGTACATAAAGCAATAGGGTTTTTTTTAATACAGATTTTAAAGTCCGTAGCAATGCCACACCTCAGGCAGACAGCTCTGAATTCTGAACCAAGTGCTATCCCTGCATGACTCAAAGATGGAATAAAAATGGGGAGAGAGGGTGAAACAACACAAAATATGAAAAAAACTCAAACGCCCTTATGACCAGGAAAAGGGTAAATTATTAAAAGCAGAGCACACTCTTTAAGGACTGAAGTTTAGAATTAGGACAAAAACATATTAAGAAAAGAAAATTTTATGTGATTTACTATCTTGGGAGGAAAAAAACCAGATATTCCAGTTGCCCATGTAAAATGTCTCTGGGCATTTATGTAAGTGACAGTATTAGCATCCATCCTCTGCCCAAGTCTTTGCTTGGAGAGCTATACTTGACCATATCTACTGTCATCCACAAGTCAGTAGGCTTTATACAGCATTAACTCCATTGTTCCAATAAATCAATGCAATCATAAGAGAGAAAGAGATTCCCTTCCTTGCACACATGTAATTTCAGCATTGCATGCAGAAGCGTGCAGTGTCATAGGAATTCTTCCTGCTTGGTGATTAGCAGAAGTTCGAGATACAGAATATAAAATTACTTTGGTTGTTGAGTTGATTGGGAGTAAGAAAGTAATAAACCCCATACATTTTACATTTTTAAAGAGTCATGTGATAGTTTCTTGTCCTAAATAAATATTCACATTTCTAAGTTTTTATCTCCAGATTTACTGTTTCATCATTTACAACAACAGAAAAAAAATTACATGGGTGGCTTTTTTTTTCTTTTCTACAGCTAAAAATTTCCATAAACAACATATATCCAAAATTAAAATGCAATTATCAAAAGTAAGTTCTGAAAGTTCTTTACACTTAAGAAGCGAAGAGGGAGACAAGAAGGAAGTGTTTTTACCTCCTCTGTGTATATCAGGTGGAATTGCGGGTGCCATCATGTTGGTATCCATTGGCTGGGAGGTATCGTGTGTCATCTGATCTTCCGGAGGCAGGTAAGCAGGAGGGGGAGTATCAGCTAAATATAGAAAAGTCAGAGATACACAAGTCCTTTCCTCTCTTTAAAGTATATATACATACCCACATAAACAATTTTAGCCTGGAAATGCTTCCAGCCTGACTCAGCTATAAACTTCCACCCACCAGAAATCTGAGAAAGCAATCACGGACCTTGAATCAGGAAAGCAAAGAATTACTGTGCATATTATGCACAACTGCAATAAAAACAAGTCACTTCCCTCCTTCCACCAAGCCACAGAAGAAAGGTCAGCTATGTTTCCAGCCCACCTTTTTTGTAGGTTGAAAGTGCCATATAGACATTAAGGCACACAGAGGTCTCAGGGCCAGGCCAGAGGTAGATATCAAATATGGTAAACGTGAACAGAAGTTGGAGCAGCAAACTTTCAGTTCGAACTTTTCTGTTTCCAACATGAAGCATGCAAACATCCCAGATATATCCAGGACCTTATTATTGTCATTGCGAATTATTAGCCGTTTCCCTAGACTGGGAACAGTTGAGAATATTCAGTAACCCAAATTCTACAGAATTAGCAGGACTTTATCTGTCAGTGTCTCTTACTGGCTGTACTACCCTGTTCAGGATTGAATCTCTAGCATAAAACTAGCCCATGCACAACAACCGTACTCACTAATACGCTGCTTTCAGCCCTGCTTGAAGCATCCGAGACAGATACTCACGTTGCCCTTCAGCTGCCTATTTCAGTCCTGTGAAAGCTTCTCAAATGGCTTCTTAGAAGCCATTGGAAGTTGCCGATGTCACCATTTCCCAATACACCGGAGGACACTCTCCTCCAAATCAATTGGACACATGCAGAAGAGAGAAACCCTTGCCTGACCCCTGCAAAGCTTTTGCTGCAAAGAGTGATACTAGATTACCACTGTACTATCCCTGGTGAACGCTGCTGCTGCTCAGCCCACATTTACTTCCATTCCTGAGAGCTTGGATTGCAAACTACCACAGCAAATAATCACAGAGGCCTCCAAAACCCTGAAAACCAAGTCAGCATCAACAAAAGGCAGGAGAATCATATCACTGGCTTCGGAAGTTTGGGGTTTTTGAGGGGTGTTTTTTTGTTTTTTAACACATTTTAATGAAATCTATTAACCGCTTATTGTTTAGGAGATACTCTTCTGAGGGCTTTACATCTAATGCTGACAGGTACCTTGCTAATTCCCTTGCCTGCATACCCCTCAGTTGGATGACAGACCAGCAGAGAAAGACAGAGATAACAACAGGGCTGCATTAAAAGCCTAACAGATTACTCTGTAGTTTTAAGTTTTATGTTTTACTAAGCCTTAAATGTTCGTGTGTGTGCAAACTCAACATTAGTGATGCATAGATAGGGAAACAAGATTGTAAGGCCACAGACGACAAATTAGCCGGTATCTAGAAAGTTTTCAAGATCTCTGGACAATTGCTTTGCTCTTTTTTTTGTATGCGTTTTCCAGAAGTCAGCCTCTTCCCCCATTAGTGCAAGACGGACAACTACCCAGAGCCAAGCATCAAGGACATCAGCATCTTGACCTCTCCTCTAATTCAATTTCTTCTCTGCAGCTGCGGACTTGTCTTTACAGGCATGCAGACAGAACAGACCCTCAAAGATCAAGTGAACTTCCACAAGCCAGTGTTCAGGAAGGCCTTGTTAGAGAAGCCTTTATCTCTGCTGGAAGAGCCCCAACCACACCAATCATATTAAAAAAAAAAAAAAAGGGAGGAAAGACAGCTGGTTTTGCAGCAACTTTTCACATTTTTTAGGAAAGTCGGTAGAAACTCTCCTTCCTTCCTTCACTTCTGCCTCTGCAATTTCAGTAGTCTTCACTCGCAAGAGAAAAATTTTAAAGGGAAACAACTATCAGCAGCAGAAATCTGTGGCTGTTAATTTCATGTAATAGAAAACAGATATTCACAAGTCTGCCACTTTGTTTGCACACACCCTCCCTCAGCCCTGGAAGAAAACATGCAAAAAGAACAACAGTAAGCATTTGTATGGAGTCCTTCTAGCATTTAGACGAAGAATTCTGTCACAGACTGCTTCTGCAGTGTTTTTATCCATCCACATGTAGAGCTAAAAAAACCAAAAAGACAGCTTCACAGAATTTTCTATGGACATGAGTCAACAAGGAAAGGTTGTTATGTCTTTGACTTTTGGAAGTAAACCAGCCTGAAGATTTCTTTTCAGGGTCTTAAGGAACTGGGTTTCAGTCAAAGTATATTTGTTTCTTGAAATTACATCACTATGTGAAGAAATTTTATCAAGTAGCAGTAGCATGATCCCCTTGAGAAACATCCTTCTTCCGCAGAACTAAAGCCTGATGCTGAATTTATGGTGATCCCTTTCTTAAGTAAGGACAATCTGTAGCATTACGCTTCTTGTGCATTAAACTCTATGCTTTCTGGGCTAAACTGTTGAACCGGTCCCCAAAAGATTTTGAATCCCTCCCCCCACCACAGAAGGGTTTCACTGTAATGTTTTAACTGTGTTTGAAAGAGGCACAATATTAAAACCCTCAATATTATTCCTAGGCAAAGCAATTACATAGTCTTTATTACGTTACATCTCTCAGCTCGCTATTAAATACAAGTGTTGGCTGATAACTTGGTATTAAGGAAAAAAAAAAAAAAAAGATACCAGTGTTGTCCAACCACCTTCTCCCTTCTGAAGAGGAACCGAAGTCGACTGTACCTGGCATCTGGAAAGGGCTTCCTGGGTCTGAGCTGGCTGGAGAATGCGGGTAGGTGCTACTGCTGCTTCCAGGCGAGTTTGGATAGCTGCTGTTGGGCGAGTGGGGGAACGGGTGACTATTGGGTTGCTGAAAAGAGTCCGGGAAAGTAGCGTTGTGTGGCATGTGGGGCTCGTTTTGTCCCGGGTTGCGGAATTGGGCCAAGAGGCTGTGCTGAGGATTGTATTCGCTGTGCCTTGGAACCAGCACCGGAGGAAGGACTGCAAAGGGAGAAAGAGGGAAAAGCCACCACGTTAGAGACTCAGTTCTGAAGGACTAGGCTATACAGGGAAAAAACCCATGTTCTTCCTCCCCTAGGGCATATTCACATCTGTCTTAAAAACAAGGTAGTCAAATCTAGGAGCGCATGTCTAAGCAAGAACTCTTCCTTATAGCCAGTTACTGCACAGCTTGAATTCATAGCAATCGTGCTACCTACCTGGTTTGCCAGATGGGAGCTTGTTTTCACAGAGGGCCAGCGAGGAAGAGCCAAGAACAAACCACAATTCTGCATTTTAGTTTTATTCACACAAAGAAATGCTGGGAAGTAAGCACGTTACAATGCTGACATGCAGTTCATTTTCCTGCGCTTGTGATCCTGCTAATCACGTAATGGCTTGTAACCCAAAACCTTGCTAATAAGGACAGATTTTTTTCTGAAGACAATACTAATACTAACAGGCCTTGAACTCAGTCTGGTCCCAACAGCTGTAATTTTATTTTTAACCTGGACTATGTTCTTACAAGTTTGTATTAAACCAGTTATTAACTCTTCAAGTCCGTTTACAAAATGTGCAATTTAAACAAAATTATGTAGTTCAAAAAACCCAACTGAGCAGCAGTTGAGCTCCAACTACATGCTACTATGGGATCAGAGCACACATCAGAATCTACTAGTCTTACCACACTCCCAAGGCCTCCTCATCAGCAGGGAAACAAAGGTCTCTTTTTAACTGGGAATATGAACATGATACCAGATACAGCAAGATAAAAAAAAAAAATCAGCTTTTTTCCAGTGCCTCAGCTTCTATCTTTCAATGCCTCACAGCAAAGTCCAAGCTACTCAATGGATTAAAAGCTAGTCTTGTTATAGGCTGAGATTTTTGGACAATGGGGGGAAAGGAGAGGCAAGGGAAGGGAGAGGGAGATACATGCACAAAGTAGGGGAAGTGAAATACAGAAGTTATTCCTCTCCGCATCTGCCCGTCCATTTCCCATCTCCATGGGTGAGCAGGACTGGAAGAAACCCCTGGGATAGCCTGCCTTCAAGGGAGGGTGCCAAAAGCCCCACAAAAAACCAGCAAAAGCAAGCCAGGCTATCACCCCCTCTCCCTGAGACTCCTGCCCTGTCCCCAGCACCTGGTGGGCCCACAGGAGAGGAACATGAGTGTGTATACACCCCAACCCTGTACAGACATAACTATCACTCAGATTAAGAAAGGTGTTTCGGAGGCAGCTGCTTCACTAAAAGGCTGAATTACAAACGAATTGCAAAAAAAACCCATCATCTTGCCAAGACAAACAAGTTCTTCCAAGTCACTGGGGCATCTTTACTCTTCCAGCACTTTACTTATACAGAACCACTCAGATACCATGTGAGTGTCCTGGAGTTTGAGAGTACCAGGAGCCTGCCTGGATGAAGTCCTGTGTAACATGCTCTAGGTGAACCTGCTTTAGCAGGAGGGTTGGACTAGATGATCTCCCAAGGTCCCTTCCAACCCTTGCCATTCTGTGATTCTGTGACACCACTCAACACATAGACCAGGCCAAACCTTCACTACCAAAATTAAGGCTGCCCGTTGGGAGTCAGAAGCAGGTTTTAAAGATTTAATCTGATATCTCACTTCCTTAGACCAGCTCCACTGAGATTCCAACAGAACTCAAATATTTGAGGCAGATGTCACCCCTAAGTAGATTCATTTAAATACGAAAATTTTAACCAACTCCACTTTACAAAGAATATAAAAGTTCCTAATTACAGCATTTTCTGAAATAAAACACTTCCATCTGCCATTCTATGGGAGTTCTCAATTACAAAACACCCCAGGAGAAACTGCATCTCCCTTGGCTGTGCAGACTGTCCCTTGCCTCTAATGTAGCCATTCTCACATGTCACCAGAAAAAGACATTAAAAAAAATAATAATTATTCAACATTCAGGTGGGCACCACAAATCCCCTCATTCACATCACGGCAAATGTCAAACCCAATCTCTCTGAATATCAGGACCTCTCAGAATTAAGCTTGTTCTTTTAAACCCAGCAGTCCTTTTGCAGTGAGGTCAAGCACTATTTAATTGTCACAGTCAACATTTGGCGGGCCAATAAATTACCAGTGAAAAAAGTAACAATGAGATCATGTGTTAAAAAGTATTTTCCCTTTCCTGTCTTTATGATTCTTCCTTACTTTTCCAAGCATTAAAAAACACAGCTTCCCTATCTCTTCCTTTCCTATGGATGAAGGTCAAACCACTAACTTTTCCGAAGTTAATTTGTGCAGAAAGTGCATCACCTACCTTTCCCATCCCCTACAGCACATTTAAACAATGACACAGATGACATCACAGGAAGCCACACGATTTACAGCATTTTAAAATAGCAGAAGAACAGGATATTTTCTGTATGTTTTCTGTAATTAAAATAAAGCAGCCCCAGATTTTCCCAAGGTATACATGCATGTTCTCTCCTGTTAGGCAGAACCACTGGTGAAGTTTAGAAGGACTCAAAATGAGAACAAGTCTCCTCTTCCCAGCTCTCTTTCACACAAATCTATACTTTTTGTCCAACTACTTCAACCGCAAATGATTTAACACCAACTTCTTCAAAACACACATGGGAAAGGGGGGAAAGAATACAACTGGTACTGATACTGCACAAATGGTCTCGAAAATATCACTGCAGAATTTACTTTGAGTGCTGCCCCTAATTCACATCCTCACTGCGTACAGACAACCTTAAACGAGGAGGAGAAGCCCTGAAAGGCCACACTGCATGCGACAGAGGCTACAGCGCTCCAATTAGTCCAATGCCAAGACAGTCACTTGCTGCTATAACCTGCCCTCCCTGCAGCTCACGGCCTTTTTTGCAGGCTAGCTGCTCCTACCAGAGCCACAGAGGAGTTAACCCGAACGCTGTTCGCTCAGGGGCAAAGACGTGAGCAGGGACCGGGCCCTTCGCAAGTATGGAAGGATGCCAGGGGTTCAGCATGTAAAGGAGGACACATACCCTTCTTGCTCCCCTCACCACCCAGCTGAGCTGCTGGCCAGGTTGCAGACCTCAACCACACGGAACAACACACCACCGAGGCTCGGTGCAGCAGGAGAGGAGGCTGCTCTCTGCTGCAGCTGCCAGCTCCAGGAAGGGGTGTAAGGGAAGGGGAGAAAGCAGGAGTGGGGATTCTGTGTGGAGCCAGCACATCTGTTGCTGTAAAAGGATGAAGCAGCGCACATCTCTGCTGTGCAGATCTCCACAGGACGCTGCTCTAACAGTTTGAAGCCAGGATTTCTCCCTTCCTCTTTACCTTAGGTACAAAAATTTAAAAAAAAATTATCACTGTTTCTTTTCAGTAGGGATGCATATATTTAAAGGAAACATACTATTAAATACACTGTTGTCTTAAAAAGATACTGCAACAGATTGGCAAATTCAACCTCATTAAAATGGTTAAAACCAGTTAATGGAGTAGAACCACAAGTCATCCTACAGCTTGATTTCTACACTTCCTCAAACATCAGATTAAAAGGTTTTATGGGCTATACCGTGGCTAAATTTTGCTCCAAGATTTTCTGTCGATATGGACCTGGACCTGAGAGTGAACACACGACTGCTAGCAGTAACGCTACCAGTAATGGCTGAAGAGGAAGAAAAACCACCCAGAAGCCAGGCTGGGTATGTTTGTGGAACTGCAGCTAAGAAAAGATCTTGTGTCTGTCAAGACAACCTGGGAATTGGGTAGCTTGTTTTTACCATGCAAATGATACCCAGAGTATGCCTGCACCAAACAAGTCGAGCTGTATTAAAGAAATTACAGCTACAGGGCAATTTCACCCACAGGGCCATTTAATCTATGAGACAAGAATGCCAAAAATATAGAAGATAGACCAAAGACAACCTGGCTGTTCAGATAAATGTGCCAACTAACCACACCAAGACAGAACTGCTTTTATGAAAATGCAATGGTGGCCTTTGAAGCAAGCTACGGATCTCCACTCCTTGTCCCTCCAGCACATCGTCCCGTTCTTCAGAAAACTAACAGGTGTGCTGTCCTAGAGTAAAGATCTTCTTCATTTTTCTTTTTTGTTCTATTTTCCCATTCTGGAGATAATGATTTTAGCAAACATAAAAAGTTACATTCAGAAGTTGGAGACTTTGTTTTTTTAAAGTTTCTCTCTAAAAAAAAAGAAAAACCCTAATCCAAGCCAAAGGACCTGCTGTACTTTTACATTAGCATATTTTCTATCCAGATGGATTTCAGTTATCTTACACAGGCCCAGATGACAGCTAGTTTCCCTCAGGGGCTCTTTTTTTTTTTTCCCCCCCTTTGCATGTTACATGAAGATTTGGGTAGGTATCTCTCTTTCCATGTCTGGAAAGTAGAAGACGAAGTAATGAAATACATGGGGCCTCATATAAGAAACCAGACTTTGATCATCTTTCCTTGCCAAAGTAGATTCTACCTCTTCTGTGAGCTTTATAAAATAGAGAGAGAGGAAAAAAAAGAAAAAAAAAAAAAAAAAAAAAGAGATGAGCAATTGCTGCTGCACTTTCTGCTCTTAAAAATCATGGCAACTTGGTCGACATAGAAGGGTTTGTACAGGCTTATACCACAACAGGGCCCTCAGCCCTAATAAAGACCTGAGGGCACTATCATTACACAGTGCACTTTAATTTCCAAGCATCATAGAGCTCTATTTTCATATGAATTTATGCAAAGCCAGTTACATTTTACTAGAAAAATAGAACTGCAGGTTGGGAAGGAGGGAAATCCTCACACGCCAGTTCATGCTATCTGGAAATGGGTACAAAAACATCAGGCAGGGGAACTTGCAGCTTGTACTCCACGCTCTAGATACAACTTCATCTTTGCAGGATTTTCTAAGAAAAACAAAGAGTTAGGAGAAGAAAAAAAAACACCAAACCAAAAGCAAACCAAAAAACACAGCAGCAGTGTTAAACTAACACATTTCAAGCCTCCTAAAGAATCCCAGATTAATTTCCTGCCGT